TCTCCTACCAGGGCGGTTCTTCCCTGCCCTTTCATCTCAGCTGCCCCTATGCTCAAAATTCTGTGATCTGTGATTCTGGATTACCCAGTCCAGCCCTTGGGCTGGGCCCCTCTCCTGGTACTTTGTTTCTTACCAAGCCTGCCAGCCCACTCCTTTTCCTTGTAATCTTCTGTCCTTTTTTTAGAAAGCAGGTTTATTACTACCTCTTGCTTACCACATGCCTTTAGGGAAAGGTGCAAGCGTCTAGGAAAACATGTTGATTTTGCAAGATGTCAAAGTCACATTGCAAAAGTTCTTTGCAAAATGTTCTCTCCAAATAAAATCAATTTCTTCTCCAAGTTGTGTAAAGGGGGAAGGGTGTATTTGAAGAGAAGGGCAGTGTGATGGAAGTGTGTTTGGTGGAGAGTGAGCATCATAATTTTTGCTGAATCTAGGGGAGAAACATTTAAAGTGGTCATAGTATTGTCCTGGGGCTTCTGAGACATGACAGGAACCTCTGGAGGGCAGAGGGAGAGAGAGAGAGAGCTCTTTAGGCTACAATGCCACCTCTGAGCTCTCTCTATAAACATCACCACCCCCACAACCATCCCCCTCCTCTCTAACCCTTCCAGTAGGCAAGCCAGGAAACTATCTAAAAGATATACATCGGACCAACTGTAGAAAGCCTTTGCAATATGGAAGTTACAGTATTCTACAGATCCTTAAAGAAATGGAACTGTATCCTGAGGAATGGAATTGACCCAATACAGTGGATGGAAGTGGGAGTTGGGAGAGGGAGGCCTCAAGGAGTGATTCAGGTATTACTTAAGAACCTCACTGTCCCTACCCCTACTCCCAGAAAACCAATGCCAAAGGGAGAAACCTAAGTCGATTTTCTTCTTGTCTCTGTAGTATTATCCCTGCCCCAGGTATAAACATTTCTGGCTCAATATGCCCAAAACCAAACTTATTATCTTTCCCAAAAAAACCACCCCCACTTCCCTGTTATTGTAAGAGAGCAACACCATCCTCCCACACCCTCATACTGAAACCCTGGTGTCATCTTCTATTCCTCACTATCTTTTACCCCACCCACACATCCAATTTCTTGTCAAAGCCTGTCAATTTCACCTTTGCAAAAGGTTGGAGGGGATTTGAGTTACTAGATATTATCAATCAGTCAACTGCATTTATTAAATACCTACTATGTGCCAAACAGTGTACAATGTAAGAGGGATACCGAGGCAAAAGGCAAAAAATTTCTTCCCTCCAAGGAGCTTACATCCTAATGGAGAAGAGAACATACACATATACAAGTGTATACAAAACAGATAAGAAGTAACCTAAGGAGTTGCAGGGGAAGAACAGGTGAAGGAACCAGGAAAGGCTTCATGATTAAGGAAAGAGGAAAGAGACCCATATGTGCAAACATATTTATAACAGCTCTTTTTGTAGTGTCAAAGAACTGGAAACTAAGGGAGTACCCATTAGTTATGGAAAGTCTGAACAAATTAAGATTTATGAATGTAATGGAATCCTATTGTGCCATAAGAAATTATCAAAGGGACAGTTTCAGAGAATCGTGGAAAGGCTTCTATGAACTGATGAAGAGTGAAGTAATTAGAATCAGGAGAACAATTTATATATAATCTGGGGTCAAGTCTGCATAACACTCTTCTTATTGGTACACAGGATACTGATTGAACCCTGAACCAAGGACCCAAGCACAAAGTAAAGTCAGCTTAAGAGCTTGTGAGAAGAGAGAAACCTTCTTCCCGCTTTTGGATTTAAGGAAAGATACATGATTCCAGACTCTCTTCAGGGAGAAGTATGGAGAGAAAGAGAATGGACTTTGAAAGACAGGTGCATAGGGGAAAGTCAATCCTTCCAACATATCTCTAATTTCTAGGTTGCCTCCCAAGAGACTTTGGGAGGTTTCCCCTTGGGTGAGATCAGGCACTGTCTTGGTTGAGTTAAGATTTCTCTGCTCCCAGTAGGAAAGCTCATTCAGTCGGTGTATTATCTGGTATATTTTAATCTGTAAAACTTTTCAGATTTCTGTTTGTTAGCTGCTTGGATAAATGGGTTTATTCAGTATTCACTATCTGTGATGTTTCATGTGTGTGTGTGTGTGTGTGTGTGTAAATTTGGTGGGAAGCAGTCAAGCATTAGGATGTAAGCCGAGGATACTCCTTCCCCTTTAAGGGATAGCAACCAGGGAAGCAGCTTGAACCTAAAAATAATTTCCCCTAGAAATATTTAAGGAATGAGCAGATAGATATAATTCCAGGATGATACCTCCCTTCTGAAGAGAAAAGAATAGCCAACCTAGTGGCCCCAATCCATTGTCCCCTCCAGGCAAGAATCAAAGTCTCCCTTGTAGATAGAGGTAGGCTAGATTCCAAAGATAGTTATTCTTGCCTCCCAGAAAGCCACATTTAGACAACTTGGGCAGACATACATAACCTACAGACAATACGCACATATCCTACCTATCCAATAGCAATAACATGTTTTAAAACACACACACAAAACTACAAAGTTCCTAGAACTCAAAGATAATAACCATGGTTCCAGAGAACCAATGATGAATAATACTACCTATATCCTGACAAAGAGGCGATAGACTCAAGATGCAAAATGAAATATGTATTTTTGGAGATGGCCAATGTGGGTATTTGTTTTGTTTGATTATGCATAGTCATTACAACCACTTTTCTTTTTCAATTGGAGTGGCAGGAAATAAAGTTTTGTTCATGGAAAAAAATTTAAAAAGAGAGTCTCATGCAGAAGGTGGCAATCAGGCTTAGTCTTGAAGGAAACCAGGGATTCCAAGAGGCTGAGGGGAGAAGGGGATGAATTCTAGGCAAAGAGATAGACTGTGGGAGACAGAATGTCATCACTGAGGAACAACGAATAGTAGGCCAGTTTAACTGGACTCTAGAGTGCATGGAGAGGAATAATGTATGTAAGACTAAAATGGTAAGTTAGGGTCAGCTTGTGAATATTTTTAAATGCCAAACAGTAATCTTTATGTAATCCTAGAGATTATAGGGAGTCATTAGAATTTATTGAGTTAAGAGAGTGTCACATTGTCAGAACTGCACTTTAGGAAAAACATTTTGGCTGCTGTATGGAGGATGGACTGAAGTAGACAGAGATTTGAGGCAAAGAAACCAACTGGGTGGCTATTGCAGTAGTCCAAACAAAGGGTAATGAAGTCTCTAATTAGGATGGTAGCTACATAAGTGAAGAGAAGGGAACAGGGGCAAGATATTTGGTGAAGTAGAAACCATAAGATTTGGCAGCAGCTCAGATCTGTGACATGAGTAAGAGAGGGGATTTTGGGATGCTTCTGAAGTTATGAGCCTGTGTGACTGAAAGATAGTACCTTTGGCAGGAGTTTAAAAAAATTTGAAAGAGAGGTCTGTTTGGGGGATGAGTTTAGTTTTGGACAAGTTAAATTTGAGACACCTATAGGTACCTAAATATTCAGTAGACAGTTCATGATACAGTACTGGAGCTTAGGCAAGAGAGTAGGGGAAATACATAGACATAGATATAGATTTATTATATATTACATATTATATATAAACATGTATTCTATTCTATTATCTATTAATGTGCACATGTTTATATGTAAATATACAGTGTGTATGTATGTATCATATTGTACTTTCTAGGTACGAGCCATCTTCCTGAAAGTGATTATGGAATCCATGAAAGCTGATGATTACTTCTCACCAAGTAAGAAAGTGTAGAAAAATAAGAGAAAAGGACCTAGGACAGAGCCTAAGGACACACTGACAGTTAATGGCGCATAATATGGATGTTGAACCATCAGAAGAGACTTGAGAAGGAGTGATCAGATAGATAGGAAGAGAACCAAGAGAATAGGATCATGATGATCCAGAGAGGAGATAGTGTCCAGGAAGAGAGAGTAGGCAAGAAAATTAGATCACATTTAGATATCAATTTATTATTGAAAAGGCACTCTCCTCACAATTGTCCTGGAAGGTAAGTAGCACATTATCCCTGTTTTATAGATGGGAAGACCAAGGTTCTACGAGTAATTTGTCTACTTGCCCAAGGTCAAAAAGCTAATGAGTGATGAAGTGAGGACTGGAACTTAGGTCTCCTGACTTTAATGCTACACAACCCACCTCTCCCTCATAATATTGATGTGCATTCTTAATCCATCTCTGAATGCTAGAGAATAAGGGATTTCACCCTATAGGTATCCCTTCCTTTTATGAGCCAGTGGGTTCATGTCACACAACAGCATTGAAATCTTCTTTACCAGGAAGAACCCCTAGGATCAAATATTTTCTAATTGGTGGCTAGCTTTGGCCTCTTGCTTCCATGTCCCTATCCATAAACACAGATTCCCAAAGTGTTTGTCTTCTCAGCCATTGGATTGAAGGAGGGATATTGTGACATGGAGATGAGGGTGAGGAATCAGTTGCTTGGAGAAAGGTTGGACACCTTGCTATTTGTGGGAAGCAGGTAGAAGAGTGAACATCAATGTTTCTGAAGAAATCTTCTCTCAACCTCTTGCCTTCCCCTCCTTGTTCCAAACTCAGTTACCTCAGTAGATTATTGGAGACTGAGAAAGGGAGGCAATACTGAAAAGTCTAGTTCCCTCCTCGTTCTACCCCACCTGCTTCAGTTCTAGTCGGTTTCCATGGCAACCTCAGAGGACCAAAAGCTGGGGACCAAGAATCACTGGGTTCCCCCAGGGGGTCAAAGGAAGAAAGAGGCAGGACTGGAGGTGGTGCCAAGAGAGATTGAGTAGGGGTATGACTGTAGGGTGCCCCCTTCCAACTCGGTCCCTTTAAGCTCCCCCTCCTCTCTCCCCTTTTCCTCCACCCCCCTCCCTCCCCCTTGCTCCATCTCTCCCATCTCTCCATCTCTCCTCTGCTCTCTCAGGCTGCGCCATCTGTGCTTCCTGCCTCTGTTGTCTGCTGGCATCCTCAGTCTGATAAGGCACTCCGCATCCCGGCACTCCAGATCCCACAGTCATGTCATCAGAAAAATCAGGTAAAAAAAAAAAAATCCTCCTTCTCTGGCTTTTCCCCCAGCACATAAATCCTTCTGCCTTCTCTGACCTCCGCAGCCTAGGTTCCCCTCCCCCCCCCATTTTCCTTGGTATCCAAGACTTGACTCTGGATTCATCCTTCTCTCTCTTCTGCTTCCCTAATTCCTCCATCTCTCCTTCCTCTTTCTCCTCATTTCAGGTTCTCTGCTTTAATCCCCATCCTCTTCCCTTTCCTACTGCCTACTTTTGCTTCATCCCTTCTCTTCCCCAGGTTGGTGGGGGGAGGGGAACAGGAGGAAGGGAGGAAGACTGAGGGAAAGATAGTTAGAACCACAGGTGTTCAGATGTAGATATAAAAGGGTATACTACATGTATCAAAACATGGAATGACAGCTATGCAGATACCCTAGCATATGAACAGTCACATCCACTCATGGAGAATCATAAATACATCCTCAGATGGGGAAAAGAGAAATCTAGCATTCTTTCTCCCCCTTTAAAGAAATTTCTCAACTCCTAGAGTCAGACAAGTAAGGGCATGCCACACAGAGATAGACATACTTAAGACAGTTGAGCACATGCAAATACATAAACTGCCATGTGCTGTCATGATCTTACATGAACAGATCCAAGCATACTAATATCAACACACAAACATACAGACAAGGGCTTTCACAAACATCACAGAAGATGGGCAAGGTACATTAAGGTGCATGTGGTAGGAACCCTGGCAACTGATGGACTTTGGGGGAATGGGAATGTTATCATAAGGAGGAGTGCACAGTGACCTAAAAAATAGACTAAAAGAGAAGGCTTTGACTGGGGAGGGCTGGGGTTTTGTTCGAAGACTGAGACTAGTCTAAATATAACTAACCCCCTTCCTCACTCCCAAGCTGAAGGATGGAGACTTACACCTTTTATTTCTCTCTTCCTTTCTTCCTGTCTCCCTGACCCTGTTTCTATCTGTGTTGGTCTGCCTATCTTTTTCTGTGTCTCTGATTCCTGTGTCGTCTGCATCTCTCCGTATCCTTCTGTCTCTATCTCCCTCCACCGTTTTCCACCTGCCCGTACTACCTCAGGTCTCCCGGATTCGGTTCCTCATACTTCTCCTCCCCCTTACAATGCCCCCCAGCCCCCAGCCGACCCCCCTGCCCCTCCTCCTCAGGCGCCCTCCGCTTCCCATCACCACCATCACCACCACTACCACCAGTCGGGCACCGCCACACTCCCAAGATTAGGGGCTGGTGGGCTGGCTTCTCCAGCAGCCCCTGCCCAACGGGGCCCCTCGTCCTCTGCTACGTTGCCCCGCCCTCCTCACCACGCCCCCCCAGGACCTGCCCCTGGGGCTCCTCCTCCTGGGTGCGCTACTCTGCCCCGCCTGCCCCCAGACCCTTACCTCCAGGAGACCCGCTTTGAGGGTCCGCTGCCCCCTCCCCCTCCGGCAGCCGCCGCCCCGCCCCCACCTGCGCCTGCTCCTCCCGCTCCTGCACAGGGTTTTGTGGTGCCCACACACCCAGGTACCGTGGGTACGCTGCCCCTTGGAGGCTACGTGGCCCCTGGGTACCCCCTGCAGCTGCAGCCCTGCACCGCCTATCTGCCCGTCTATCCCGTGGGCGCCGTGAGTGCAGAAGGGTAGATAGGGGAAAGGGAAAGGGGAAGGGGAAACTTGGGGTGGTGTATGGAGGGCATCCGAACCAGGAGAGGAGGTAAGGGGCCAGGAGAAGCGGGCACAAGGAGGGTTGTGGGGAAGGCTTGGGGCACTGGGAAGAATAAAAAAGGAAAGGGGCACCTACAGAAAATGGAAGGAAGAGGGGCACTGGGGAATAGGAGTGGGAGGCACTGGAGGGGGTATCCAAGAGGCCTGGGCGTGGAGGAACTGGGGATAGCTGGGATGCAGATCCTTAAGGAACAAACAAAAGATTACATTATTTACAATAGTTTTGATTAGAAAGAGTGACTTTAAAATGATCGGCCTGCAGACTGCAAACTGCACACTCTTTCGGCCAGGGGAGGGATACTGGATATGATAGGTCAGGGTCCTGACTGTGACCTAGCTTCCCTACCCTTTCTTTCCTCAGCCATACACAGGAGGAGCGCCGGGAGGGACTGGAGTGACCCCTACGCTTTCCCCTCCACCCTTGGGCCCTGGGCTAGCCCTATTAGAGCCCAGGCGCCCGCCCCACGATTACCTGCCAATAGCAGTGCTCACTACAATCTGTTGCTTTTGGCCGACTGGCATCATAGCTATCTTCAAGGCGGTACAGGTGAGGGGGGTGGAGGTAAAAGGGACCAGGGGGAGGGGCTAGAAATGAAAGAGTGTGGAGTAGGATCCGGAGGGGGCGGAAAGGTAGGTAGAGGGGCGGGGACTGAAGTAGCCAGAAATGTGGCTACTTCAGATACTACAGTGGAGGTGGTTGGGCTAGGGATTGTGCAAGCTCTGGCTTCTTTCTCTGTCACTTCCCAGGCCTGATATGGCTGATGGGGAGAGAGAGGCCAAAGACTGAGTCCTTGAGCAACTGAGAGCATCTTGAGAGGAGATTCATCTCCATCTTTCTCTCGTCCACGACCAGACAAAGTTGTGTGATGAGGCATTTGTGTGGTGTTTCCCTGACCCCGGGCCTTCCTCCTCCTTCCCATGCAGGTGCGGACTGCCGTGGCCCGTGGAGACATGGTGTCAGCGGAGATCGCATCTCGAGAGGCTCGGAATTTCTCCTTCATCTCCCTGGCCGTGGGCATCGCAGCCATGGTGCTCTGTACCATTCTCACGGTGGTTATCATCATAGCTGCGCAGCACCACGACACCGACTGGGATCCTTAGGGACTTCCCTCCTCCTTCAGCCTGGAGACTCCTTCAATCCGATTTCCTGGGATTCCCCTTCCCCTCCCCTAGTGATGACCTTCCAATCCCCTATCCTCCCCCCAAAACCAGACCAACCCGTGGAGCCTCCAAAGCTGGAAACACCCCTAAACCTGGCCAGGATGTTTCCCATTAGAGGAAACTGTAAATCCAGATCCCCAGGAATTTCCTAAATATGGCCTTTGGGAAATTTCCAAAACCCAGTTCCCTTGAGCCTCAGAACCTACAGTCAGATACAGAATCTTGCAGCTCCCCATTGGTTCAGGCTATCAGGAACCACAACCTCCCCAAGGTCCAGCATACAGACTTCCCTTATCTCTCTGGGCTAATTTGAGCCTCAGAGGTCAATCCCCTACATGGTTTGCCCCCAGCCTTTAGCAAAGCTTCTCCTTTGGCTCCTGGTGTTATACTCTACTTGCTTTTCAGGCCTTTCCCACTTTCTGGGGGACCTGTGCCAACTCTAGGTATGCCTGTACGGTCCCAAGCTCCCATGACAGCCAGGGAGGCCCTCTTCTCCTTCATGTTGCCAGACTTTGGGTTACCTTTTATGTGTGGACTGAGATGCTGGGGTCTCTGGCTCCTCAACCTCCTCCAGCCTAACCCCAAGAACTAAGCTCCCTTTATCTCACCCTCCCCAGACAGAGGAGCCAGAAAAGGTGAGGGAAATCCATAAACTTTATTCCCTATCTCTGGGCAGGGCAAACCAGGCACCTAGGGCTAGGCCTGGATCCACCCCCTTGTCCTCAGAGGACCCTGACTCTCCAGTCCTCATCTCCCCACCACCTGCTAGGGCTGCTCCCTACCCTTTCCCATACAGTGTTTGACAAACTGTACAGTCTCAAAGATGGTGTGATATTCCCAGAGATGAGATTAAAGAGACCTTGTGGTTTTATTGCCCCAAATTCTGGAGACTACTGCTGAACTCATCAACCTACAACTCCTTCCCTGACAAACATTCTGGAATATACCCTGAATCTACCCATCCTCACCTCCCACCCTCACAGTGCAGAGGGAGACAGAGATCAGTGGAGAATAAGAGAAAGAGGCTGAGAGAGATACAGACTTCACCTGAAATAAAGAGAAAAGGTAGTAGTGGAATGTTGGAAAGAGTATTGCAGTGGAAGGAGAGCTAATACTGTCATTGTGTGACCTTGGTCAAGGCACTTTCCTTCTCTGTAGCCCAGTTTTCTCTTTTGTAAAATGTTGGTCTTTAGAATCCCTTCTAGCCTTCTATAGAACCTTCTACATATGGTTCTATGAATCTAAAACAGGAATGGGAAAGGAGGAAGTAGCTGGTACTTGCAGACTTTGTCTAATGTTCTCAGAGTTCCAGTTGAACTTCTCCTTTCCCTTCCTTATCCCCTATCCATCAGGGAACAGCTTGTTGGAGGACAAGATGTATAATGCAGGCCCAGGATCTCTTGGAATAGCTGTCAAAAGTGGATAAATCCAACATCGAAGTAGTAACACTGAAGCTAAGAAGAGGATTAGGGTATATACAGACGTTTCCAAGTGAAGAGTGAGGGTCAGGATACATCAAAGAGCTGGAGAAAGACAGGAGACTGAGAGAATGGGTTAAGAGTAGAATTGGGGTTTAGGGTGGTGTCTGCATGGGCAACTCTTACCACAGGCTTGGGGGATGGGGAAAGTTAGGTGAGATTGAAGATTCTTCAGTCAAGTTGGGTTGTACCAATCCCTTTCTTCACCCAGAACTCAACAAAGGGAACTCCTTGGGGAAGTCAGGCCTTGGAGACATCAAGGGCGAAAGAGAAAACTATGTTTCATGTTTGTGTACATGATCCCATCTCTTCCTATGTCCTATGAACCCTGGGAACATGTGTATATATACCTATATGTAATCCCTTTATGTGTGTGTGTATAGTCTTTTTACAAAGAAGCCCTTCAATTGACATGCCATACCCTCAAGTTCTATATTTTTTGTGCTTTTAATAAGAAAAAATCCTAGAAAAAGACATTTCTTCCCTTACCTGACACTTCTCTATCAATTTTGTGTGCAGTTGTGATCCCACAAAGCAACCGAAATTGCTCTCTTTCTAAAGCTACGGGTGACCACTTACTTAGTCGCTAAATCCATCAGCCTCTTTTCTGTCTTCAACTTGACCTCTTTCTAGCTCTTATTTGTCAACCACCACTTCCTCCTGAACACTCTCTCCTGCCTTGGAATTCCTAGCAAACACTGTCACTCTTAGTTCTTCTGCCTGTTTGACCTTTCCTTCTCCGTCTCCTTTGCTGTATCATCCTCAGTGACTCACACTCAAAACGATAGTGGAAATCTTCCCCAGGCTCTGTTTTGGGTGCTCTTCTCCAGACTCTGTCCCTTGGTGATTTCATCAACTCCCTCCTGTTGCTTCCATGATCATCTCTTGTAGATGATTGCCCAATTTCTCTCCTGAACTCTAGTCCTGCATCACTAGGACTTCTTGAAAGTCTCCACCTGGATGACCCATTGAAGCAATGGGAGTGAACAAAATCACCAAGGGACAGGATATGGAAAAGAGGGTCCAGAACAGAGTAAGTAATACATTTTATGTGCTATTTTCAAAACTGTCCTACTTACCTGTGATTCCTTCTGATCATTCTTCTGTTGTCTTCTGTGCATTTAAAACAATGTTATGATGGCCCTCTTTTTTTTATCTATATTGCTAACAATCTCTCTCTCTCTCACACACACACACACACACACACCTCTGCCCTAATTAAAAACTGAAAGAGAAAAAATCCTTCTAACAAATAAACATAGTCAAGCAAAAAAACAAAAACAAAAACAGAAAAAAAAACACGAAACCAACCCACACAGTAATTGTGTCCAAAAGTGTATGTTTCTGTACTTGTGTATATATATATATATATATATATATCTCACCTCTCTACCAGGTTTGTAAAATGCCTTACCATAGGTCCTCTGAACACATAGTTGATGATTGCATTAATAAGAGTGCTTAAGCCTTCCAAACTTCTTTTTCTTTATAATATTGCTATCCTTGTATAAATTGTTCTGGTTCTGCTCATTTCACTCTATGTCAGTCCCTGAATTGGTCTCTTTGTCTTTTCTTTCACTAATGTTCTATTATATTCATATACCAGTTTATTCAGACATTCCTCAGTCATCTAGGAGGCAATCTAAAGCATATTCTCTCTTGATACCCCACCACCACCACACCCCTTAGTTTTAGTTCTTTTCTCCTTCTTTTGTCTATTTTATCCCTTCAGAATCCCTGTTGGGGGCAGGAATTGTTTCCTTTTTCTTTTTTTATTTGTGACTATTCATCCCCAAGTATTAATCTCCTTCTTAGACAACATTTCATATCCCTAATTTCTTCCCTGTTGAATTTGAGTAGTTAATTATTTTTTAAAATAAGTTTTATAGATATTACATCACCATAGTTATCCCAAATATCTCTCTGCCTTCTCCTCCCAGAGCATTGTGTGAGGTGATAGTCTAAGCTTTATTTCTGCCATACAGTTTTCCAGTTTTCCTAGCAGATTTTTTTAATCAAATAAGCAATTATCAAATAAGAAAAAAGTATGAAGTTTCTTAATTTTTGAGAATATTTGTGAAATGTGTTTTCTTTAAAAGTTGGACAGAATTATCCTGTAAATCCATCAGGACCAGGAGTTGTTTGTTTTTGTTTTCATTTCTTTGGTAGTTTCTTTACAGCTAGGTCTAATTCTTTTTCTGAAATTGTATTTTTTAAGATCTATATTTGGACTTCTGTTGATTTGGGTAGTTTATATTTTTAAGGTGTTCCTCTATTTCTTTTGTGTTCTCAATTTTGTTAGCACATAACTGTGCATGATATGTTCTGATTATTCTTTTTTATTTCTTCTGGTTTTGCTGTGATTTGACTTTGTTTATTTGCTACCTTATTTGATATTCTGCTCTCTTCTTTTTAATCAGGTTAGTTAAGGATTTATTAATTTTATTATTCTTTTTCAAGGGGCAGCTAGGTGGTGCAGGGCACAGAGTGTGGGGCTTAGAGTCAGGAAGACTCATCTTCTTGAGTTCAAATCTGACCTCAGACACTTTATTGGTTATGTGACCTGGTTGAGTCACTTAACTCTGTTTGCCTCAGTTCCTCATCTGTAAAATGAGCTGAAAGGAAAATAGCAGACCACTCCAGTGTCTTTGCCAAGAAAACCCCAAATGGGGTCACAAAGAATCAGACATGACTGAACAAAAAGTCTCTTAAAAGAAACAGCTTTTAGTTTAATTTATCATTTCTATGGGGTTTTTGGTTTCTAACTTATCTATTTCACCTCTAATTTTTAACATCTCCTTCTTTGTGCTTATTTTAGGTTTATTTTTTAGGTTTCTAATTTTTAAAAATATATATTCAGTTCACTAATTCTCTCTTTTTCTATATTGTTAATTTATGTTTGTAAGGATGTAGTTTTCTGCTTGAGGCCTTCTTTAGCTGCTTCCCAGAATTTTTGATATGTAGTTTCATCATTATCATTTTCTTTTACATAGTTATTAATTATTTCTATGATTTGTCCTTTGATATACTAATTATTTAAGATTTCATTGTTAATTCATATTTTGTTTATTGTCCCTCAACCAAGTACTATTCTTATTGCATTATGGTCATCTTTCTTTTCCTTTTGCCTCAAAATTGCTCTTCCCTAGATCACTGTTCTCCCTCTACAGATCATCTCTCTTTGCCTATAGAACCATCCATAAGTGGAACCTCCTCCCACCACCAAAGTAAGGCCTCCTTCCCTCACCCCTATTCTTTTCAATCCTTCCCTGATTCTCTTCCTCCATTCCCCTATGGTGTCTTCTCTTTCTGAGACCATAGGAATCACCTTCCCCTCATTGCTAGACCTTGATTGACCCAAGCACAACACACATTCCTTTCTATCTCCCTACTTCCCTTTCATGTACCCTCCCATGTTGTAATATAACCCCACAAAAGAAAAATCAATTCACCTATAAACAGGGTATCACCAGGTTCTGTCCCCTGTCTGCCTCTTCACTGTTACCTCTACCACATTTCTACCTTCACCCCGTCTCCTTGTACACATTTAGAAAGAAGTCTCTTAGTGGTATCTCTGCTGTCACTGTAGCTGTAGCTGTCCCTGGCTGTTGCATTTATCCAGTTCTCTTGCATTTGTGTTGATTAGGGTATTTAAGAAGCCAATTATCTCTTCAGTTCTGGTTTTCTTTCTAAAAATGTTTCAAATGCCTCTTTATTATTGAACATCCATCTTTTTTTTCATGTAAGGTTAAGTTCAGATTTGCAGGGTAGATCATGCTGGGCTGCGTCCTGAGTTCCACTGTTCTTTGGAACACATTATTCCATTCCCTCCCATGTTTTCTAGTGGGTATAGAATAGCCTTGCATTATTTTAATGTCCTTTCCTTTGTCTTTGAAGATCTTTCTCCTAATTGCTTGCAAAACTTATTGTTTCTGAGTTGAATTGCTAAATGTAACCACTATGTTTCTTGGAATTTGCAGCCTTAGGATTTTTTCTTGAGGTGTTCTGTAAATTCTTTAAATTAGTGTTTCATTTTCTATGTTCAGAAGTTCTGGGCAGTTCTCTTCTATTCCCTTCATCATGGTGTTAAGATTTTTTTGACCTGTCATCTTTTGGGAGACCTATGATCCTTAAGTTGTCTCTATGCATCCTTTCTTCAATATCAGTATGTTTTGCTTGCATAGTGAGTGTATTTTCTTTTAACATTAATATTTTTTGCTTCTCTTCTTCTAGATTAACCCTCACTTCTGTGTATTTGTATTCCCAGTCTATTGTTCTCTCTTTTGTTTCTTTGGTGAGCCTTGCCATTGCAGATTCCAGTTTTTCTATGCTGCCCATTATTTTTGAAGAGCAAGGCATAAATTCTACTCTTATAATTCCTGTATTTCCTTTGAACCACTCCA